ATTTTTCCCCCTTAGAAATGAATGGAAATGACGTTGAATCTATGTTTATAGTACAGTAGCTAGAATTGTTGTGAATTTGAAATGTTTTGTAAGGGTAAATATTTCAGGTATTTGTCATTAAAAAAACTCACTTTTTTTTTTTTTTTTACTTTATTCATAAAATAAATAAATAAATAAATAAAAATTTATGTTGCTTTTAGTTAATTTTCGTTAACTACAATAACCCTGGGCAAGTCTCGGTCGCTGAATAGTGGGGATTCACGAGTGTCGCTACCTCTCTGGCTATCTTCTCCTTCCTCTCCTGGACCTTGAGCAGCAGTTCCTTCTGCTGAGGTGACAGCTTGAACGTGGCCTGGGAGGGCGCCCCGCTGGCTGACTGCACTCGCCTCTTGGTTCCTCTCTTCTGACCTCCTCTGTGGCTGTGGCAGGCCGAGCTTGGCCTTCCCGGAGGGTGAGGTGCCCGCAGGCGATCGGAAGTAGCTCCGACGGGCAAGTGAGGCGAGGGGAGGGAAGTTGGGCTCTTCTTGAAGCTGCTTGTGTGCTCCAGTGTGATTGGAGGGAGAAGGCCTTGATTCTCCACCTCTTTGAGGCTGACGAGGTCAAACCTGCCATCTTTTTCCACAAGGACCCTTCCCTCTTTTGGCCCTTCATCTCTCATCCCACCTTGATGCTCCTCTCGAGGGGACAGTTTCAGTTCAGACAACCTCCCTGACACTTCCATCTCTGTGTCATCCACCTCTCTGGCATCATTTTCCGATTGCAAGGGAGGCACCGCTAAGGTAACCAGTGTCTCTTTAAACTGAAGTCGCCGCCTCCTGCTCAAATTTGGAGCTTCTTGATCCTGCAGCTCCTTGTTGGCTTGTTGGATTTTCCCTTGGATGTATTTCTTTTCCTCGTCCGTCTGCTCACCCACACCCAAAGGAGGTGGTGTCGCATGAAAGGACTTATCGGGGCTGTCTCTGTCCAAATCGTACTCGAGTGGGTCCATCGGTGAGGGCCACCTCTCCTCATCGTCCTCTTGCTCATCAGAGTTGTTGCTTCTCTCCTTCACTTTAAGTTGTTTCTCATCCTCGGCCAGCTCTTTGTCAATGTCCGCTTCAATGTCATCATAGTTAGGTCCCTGTGTGGTGTTAACATGCATTTAGTACAGGGGTGAACAAACTTCTCTATGACTATTTCTTCAATTCAATTCATTTTCCCACAATATTTAACAGACTCAGAATGAACGGATGGGTCGTATCCACCCAATCTTATATATGGCTGTTTTTTTACTCAGCCGCTAGTCGTACTATAGACGTCTCCCAAACATGCTATTTATTTACAGTAGTTTGTACTGTAAAGCCCTTATTTATGGCTTCT